TGTGCACTGACGTCACATTCACAAGACAATGTCTCCAACACTATACATTAAAGATGGATGACGCATTCCTCAGCTGTGCTTTACGATTTGTTTTTAACTCTGGGATTGGTTTCTTTGTGTCAGGATGTGTTGCACGCCAGACATTCAGTTTTCTACGCGTAATTACTAAATCACAGTTTCAGCTTTAGCACAAAGCCTCTGCTCAGGTGTGACAATTACCTGATGGTTGGCATGTTATTCCTCAACCCTGACAGCAAGGAAAACAAAATACCTTTGTGTTTAGCTAAGAACAGAGACGCCCCGTTGTGTCAGCAAGGCCAGATTTATGATAGGATTCATTATTGTGCCCTGTTGTGTTACCTGTGGGAAAGGCGGCTTACCACAACTGCACATATGCTACAAACAATCAGATAAGCTGTTTCATCTGTGTTTTACTGTATGTCATGTATTAAATGTGACATAATATGAGACAGTGATCATATTCAATGTAATATAAAGTGCCACAGTTTGAAATGTGCAGTGGGCAAAGAGTGACACCTGGTGACCAAAGTATGAACAGCATGAAAACAGTTTGTGGGTCACTCTTTTGTTTCTTGTACGTCAGGGGTTTCCCAAACTTTTTGGCTTGTAACTCTCTAAAAAACAACAGAAAAATAATCTACTAATTATTAATAATAATAATATACACATATGCACACATTTCATATATTAAACCACTCTTTCACATACATTAATTTATTTAATCATACAGATGCATGCAGTGCATTTGCTGAGCCCGTCTGTCTCTCTGTTTATCAGACGGCTAATGAGACAATACTTAGCCAACTCACCACCCCACAGTCTCTCCACCTCGCTCCCCGCCATTGTGGACTGCTTACCCAGAAGGAGAGCAGGTAGTAGCTCAGTAAATAGACATTTGGTTGGTGGCTTTAGCTGCTTGAATTTAGCCAACACACGTCCCCTAGTGCTGGGTGTCACAGCGGCCCAGTGGCCAGTCGCAGCTCCGAATATAACCTATGAAACAGCTACCACAGAAATTTAGCTGATCCAGGGTTGCTCAGTCCCCTGGTGCTGGGGTTCACGCTAGCTGGATTCGGGATGCTGCGGTCGCTGACTGGGGTTCTGTCCCTGGAGCTGCTGCCCACTCTCCTCACGGTGAGGTGGTCCGTAGTGGCAGGGAGTGAGGCGGAGGACATGCTATGATTCAAAGCTCTTATTAGATGATGTATAGGTAGAGGTGACTTTGTCAGTTATCCTGGACTCAGGACTCAGACTTCAGTACATCAAGTGAAAATAAACTCTAAAAGCTGAAGTAGCAGATGTCATTTATTCTACCTTTTTCTTGGCTAAGTATTGTCTCATTAGCCGTCTGATAAACAGAGAGACAGACGGGCTCAGCAAATGCACTGCATGCATCTGTATGATTGCTGCCCACTCTCCTCACGGTGAGGTGGTCCGTAGTGGCAGGGAGTGAGGCGGAGGACATGCTGTGATTCAAAGCTCTTGCTAACATAAGCTAGATAAACATGAACTTAAAGCCACGAGCCTTTAGTTCTGGTTAGCAATAGGCTAAACCAGAAGCACATTTTCTCACCATCTCTGAAACAATTGCCAATATTGACATGGTTCTTTTTGTTTATTGTCAGACTCTCTTTTTGATAAGTTTGTCTTCTCTTCGTTTTTTTGGGTTGCTCTGCAGTGAAAGCAGTTGTTGTCAATACAATAGCAACTTTCTCTGCAGGATTCTCCACCACTGAATCAGGCTTTTACCAAAGGTATGTGCATGTGCATCTGCATTTGTAGCACAGCCAACAGGAACACTGTCTCTCTAAAGCACAGAGCATTAAATGTTACTACAATCAAAAGATTTTAAAGAGTGTCCTTTTTCCATGGTATTCTGCTGACGCTTAGTGGACATGAGTGAACAGTGCAACTATATTGTTCCTCAGCAGCAGTTAAAATCACATGATAGATAGATAGATAGATAGATAGATAGATAGTAATTCTAATCAAATAAGGGCCAGTTATAGAGTATCTAGTGTTAGTCAATCGAAGTGTAAAATGACTCAAGGTCTCCAGAACTTCAGACAGAACATTAGGGTTAGCTTTGTGTAAAACCGTGTGGTTTGATAAAACCACCAACATATTAGTACATGTACAACATTTTAGCAGCGTCTGCTCTTTCTCTTAAAAAAGAATTTGCCTCCTGGTCTGAGTCATGATGAGTCATCGTGATGTGAAAGACATCAGGCAAGCACATTTGAGCCTTGAAGGAAATATGGCATGGACCGTAAAAAGGAACTGTAACTTTACATTACATCAGTTTACATATAGAAATATAAAGACTGGACACCAAGGATGATGAAGTTAATGCTTCTCCATACAAGAGCTGATTGAATTGATATTTATCAATTATCTTGTGTTAGCCCACAGTGACACCTGCTGGTCAAACTCCATACCAAATGTGCAGAAGATTTTCATGTACATCTATTACTTACATTGCTCATTAGAAAAGGGTTAAACCTTATGAGCCTACATTATATGATAGTAGAATTTATTTATGATATTTTAAAAGATTACAATGTATAATGTGTAAAATTGTGCATTAATTGGCTTATAATGAAATAAATCTAACAATAAAAAATTCTACCTGAACACAATGACACTTCTTTAAGAAAACTGTTTAACTACAGAGTTCTTTCCCCCAATATTATCTGCTACAATATACTAATTATCTCACAAATGATGCATGTGTATACTGCAATCACAAGGAGGATTTCATCAGAAGTGCCTCAGCCTGCCACATGTGTAACAGCATGTTGCTCTAGCAAAGCAAATGCATCCGGTCCCCTTACAGTCCTACTAGTTTTAATCACAGTGTCTTCAGTCTGATTTGGTGTTAATAAAGTCCCATTTTACCCACTGGTCCTAACTGCACATAATGCAGGAGCATCAGAGACATAGTGGGACAGTACAGAAACAGAAAGTTCAGGAACAGGAGATAATTGAAGTGCCATGTTCCAAGTTTTTTATTTTCCAGATGGTGCTCAGAACATCCAAAGAACAAGCCCTGCAAACCCAGATCCAAACTGTAAACGTGACGGAGTGCATGGATTACATTACCGTAAATATCCTATAAAATCGAATTGTAGAGGTCAAAATGCTCTTGAACGTACTCCATTGATGACAAAAAAATTCTGCAAGACTCTTTATATATGATTAATAATCATATATGACATTTAGAGGCTGAAAAAATGAAGGTCAACAGCAAAAGTATTTTATCACTATGACCTACTATGACTTTGTCAGTCCATCACTGATACATAAATACACTGCTCGAAAAATTAAGGGAACACTTAGTGGTTGCAGTGTAACACCAAGTCATTTAAACTTCAGGGATATCAATCTGTCTATTTAGGAAGCAAAAGTGACTGTGAATGAGTTTCAGCTGCTTTGGTGCAAATGAAAGTGACAACAGCTGCAATGGAGAGGCAAAACAAGACAACTCCCACAAAGGGAAAGGTTTTACATGTGGTGGCCACAGTCAATTGCTCTCTCCTGATCCTTTCTGACTGATTCTTCTCGAGTTTTGTGTTCTGCTAGTGTCCTTGTCACTACTGGAAGCATGAGGTGGCACCTGCAGCCCAATCAGAAATCCTCAGAGTGATTGTCAGACTTTACGCCAGTGCAGTGGGCCCTGTTCCTGCTGGTGCAGGACAGTGCCCGGCCTCATGTGGCCAGAGTGTGTAGGCATTTCCTGAATGATGAAGGCATTGATGCCACTGACTGGCCCTCTCATTGCCCTGACCTATCAAATTGAGCTTGTATGATAGTAAAAACCAGTCCCTTACTTAAATACAATAAAAACACTTGTTGCCTATATTTCAGAGAAAATATTTTCCTTTTTTATAACTCCACCATTTCTCTGACAGCTTTAGTTACTGGCAGTTTTGCCGGCTCTGAGTTTACATACAAAACAAATTAAATCAAACATGCATTTTTATGAACTGAACTGCTCGACAGTATATAGCTCAAATTAGTGCCACCTCAACCAGGTAAGACAATAAAATGATCCGAAAATATGATGATGTATATGACATAGCCCTGAAAGGGGCAAGTGCGCATACCTCGAAACTTCAGTTAAAAGCCTAGTCCCAATTAAATGCCCAGTTCCTTTTACTAGCCCGGTGTGGCTACACATTTTGACAAATAAACGCTCATCTCAATTAGACGCCTGGTCTGGTTGCCAAGCAGTTCATTTTTTTATACCTCAAATTATTTGTCCATTCCTCGATTACCCTGTAAGTTATTCATATTCCTTTAGTCTGTAAGGGTTCTCTGATCAAAGGAATCAAAAGGGTTTTTCATAAAAAATAATCCAAGTTGTGAGTATTGTTTTAACAGTATAAAGTGGTGGTGCTCCTTGAGTCTGTCGGAGCTGGATCAAATGAATGATTCATAATTCATACATTATTTGCAGCCTAATTTTTATACAATATTCATGCTGTTTTGAATAAATAGTTGATTATATTTCTTTATGTCTTTGCTGAGCAATACTTTTGTGTGAAAGGAATTAAAGGCCTGCCGCAGTGATTTAAGCAAATAATAGCCCGGGTTATTAATTTAAGTTTTACAGTAATTGCTTTTGCTGATAGGCCCATTTTAATTGGCATCATTTTGCATCCAATACTGCAGTGCTTTTGCTTAATTAAAATTCTGAATGCAGGACTTTCACTTTGGACTTTTCAGGACTTTATTTTGGGGATTTCTAAAGGATAACTTACTTTCTCTACAAACTGGTAAAGCATTTTAATTCTTAACACGATACAGCACAAATCTAATGGACCTAAGCTACCACTCGTCACTGTAGAAATAGGTTTTGCCATTTTTCTCTGAGAAGAAGATGAATGTTCAACCTAAAGCACAGAAGAATGTCACTGCGCGTCTATCCGCAGTATTACAGTGAGCCCTCCCGGAGGTTCTGTACGTGGCAGCGTCGACAGCCCCTCTCTGTCCTATTCATAACCCCCGGGGTGCCAAGTGAGATTGCCTCCACATACCAAAGTGTGACGTTACTCTTGGAGACATAAGAAAATAAAGGTAAGATAGCGTTAAATGTCGCGTCTAACCAGCCACAGAGCTCCTGTTCACATCACTGGAAGGGGGCTGACTCACTGAGCTCGCGTGCGTACCGAACATGTTGGGATGGTTGTCAATAACTGGGTCCAACAGGTTTCTTTGAAGGGGAACGTGATAGGCTACCAGACACCTAGAGCTTGTGGCACCGAGAAGGTAAAGTAACAAGTAAAAGCTTGTTATTTGTGAGGTGTGCTCCGACATGTTTGTTACATTGTGAGTCTCCGCGGTGCAGACGGGTTACAATGTTTCGTACTGGGGAGAAAGCGGAGAAAGTTTTGAAACTTTGCGCGAACTTTCTGGAAGAGCATCTCGGACGGTGATGCTGGCATGACAGTGTTTATAACTCACATTATTTGAGGCAGAAGGTGACAGTAGGTGTTGATGTGTTTGCGCAGTAAATCTCTGCACATGTAGTCCCACAGCTCGGGCTGCACGGACATTAACGGGACCAGAAAGAGCGAAAGAAAGTGTTGGGAATTTCTAGAAACAACTGTGTGACGTCACCGGGACGGCTACTATCCAGCTGGAGATGATGAGCAGACTGGAGGTCTGCAAGGCAAGGCTTGGGGCAAAGTGCTTTCCCGACAATGCTGGTGCTGCTCAATTTTACCTTACTTTAATACATTTTTTTTTTTTATTAAATTCTATTAAAGAAATAGTCCCAATAAAGAGTGTGTAATAGTAGTGTCTGTGGATCATTCAGAGTAATGGGAACACTGTCTTTGGAAAGAGATGTGTCTGTAAAGTAGGGTTTGTAGTTTTACAAAAAGCTCCTAAAGGTTGGCTTTGTCTGCCTTTGGCAAATACCACAAAATCACTGCACACAGTCCTAGAATAAAGGCTTGTATTGTATGCATACCATGGATGATGTCCTGCAGTGATTTATATGTACTACAATGGCAATAATTGGATGCAGCAGCCATTGGATAGGGTACAAATGGAGGGCAACAAATGGAGAGATGTCATAAATCTGTCAGCAGTAATTGGGCTGTAAGGCAGGTGACATGCCCTTTCAAGAGCGTGATGTCCTGCTAGATGCAGCTGAAACGAGAGATCTGCTTTATTAAGTTACGTGAGTCTCTGTCTGATGACCTCTGGGGCTTTTTTTCCTTAAGTAAGCTGCAGCCAGTGTCCAAGTCTAGTTGTGTCTTTTGTTATCATAAATATTGAAGCAAGGCTTATCTAAATGTGTGGGTGATTTATACTTAATACAACAGTAGTGTATTTTTTGTTAAACATTATTTGTGTGAGCCTTCAGTGTTTACATACCAGCGAAAGCTTTTTGGAAGTGGATGGTGTGTTTGCATACGTTTGCACAGAGAATAAAGTGTGTGGATGTAAACTAATGCTTGCAACTTTCAGCCTGTCTGCCTCATAATGTTAATACATGGCTTAAAATGAGTCACACTGTGTAAACAGCGAGCCTGTGGTATGAATGAGCTCTGCTGCCAGGTATAAATGAACGTGTCTGCAACCCAGCAACCTGGTAATAGATTACCAGTGCTGTCACAGTCTAGTTGCCACGTTGGGATGTTTAGTCACATACAGGGGTACAGGAGGAAGTGGTTTTCCCTCACAGCCAAAAAGGTTTATTCTATTTTTAGTTGTAGCATGGCTGCAGGTTTTTTTCAGCTTTCATTGCATCTGAAACAAATTTGCTCTAAAGTTGACCACATACGCTCAGCAGTAATCTCGGACTTGCGCTTGTAAAACTTTTTAACCCTTTGCTATATCTAGAGATGTTCTGCACTGTCCTCCCTCATAGTGTATAACACTGCATTCATTTGACAGACGCTGTCCGTTTGTCCACAGCGAAACTAGATGTTTTCTAGTTCACAGGTTAGCTAAAGTGTGCTGGAAGTGCTCACTTCCCTTTTTTCAGAGCAGGGAGAGATTACAATGTCAGTGTCAGTACACTTTGTATTGTTAACTGGCTGTATGAAGTTGTGAAATTGCTAGAAACCTAGAAATGATGTTCATTCAGCCCTTGTGATGTTTAGTGGAAGTGAAAGTTAAATTAAGTTTTTGTGCCCTTCGTTTGACTCTGCCTAAGCAGATACCGGCCATTCAGGAAATCTGCTGTAGGGCCCCATGAAATCCATTGTAATTTCTTCCTGATTCTGTTTTATTTTTTCCACATTCTGCATTTTCCGATTAATTTTTTCTGAATTCTTTTTTAAGATTGAAGCACATTTTGTCATTAGAAAGAGTGTCTAATCATGTGGTGGATGAATAAAGTATCAAGAGTTTAATAAGAAAATATTTAGATTAATTAACATGTTTTATACTTCCTGTGAATATAATCCAATTAATCATTTTCACATAATTGAATTTACGCGGGGTTAACACCTTAGTCACCGTAGTCATATGTGTATCCTGGGCAGTTTCAATGCACTTACGGGTCAGGATATGGGCGCACTTTAACCTAAGCAACAGCCGGTTTGACCACAGTCAGCTAGCCACAGCTAGCCGGATGCAGAAACATCAGACACTGCCTCTTGACGACTCTAGATGCACAAGAGGACTGGATTTGATCCAGCCTGGCTGACCAAGAGAAAGACTGTGGTCGAGCTAGACGTCTCTTGCATCTCTGCAGTCAAACTAGCCGGCGCTGAAGTTGGAAACAACACAGGCAGAGCAGAGCAAAACCTCTGCAACAACTGATCCAGTGTCCCTCCGGTGTCAGCGGCCCTGCCGGTGTGTGGAGAAGCTAAGCCCCGCCCTCTGTGAAACACCAATACAGAGAACAGAAGCAGTGTGTCCATAAATGATACTAAATATCAAATCATAATACTCATTTTTGAACAATAATTCTCATTTAGCTTTGGTTTAGAAGGGCTACAGTGTTGACCTTTGTGGGTTGAGACACACCTATGATAGCAATATTACTTAATGAATTTATGAAGAAAGTGAAAGCTTACCTGTACTTGAGCAGTATTCCCACCTTATTGGAAACCAGGAGGTGAGACAGGAGCCCTTTGAATATAGCCGACTCCTTTTTCAAATCTGACAGAATCGCCAAAAAATCAGGGACACATCTTTAAATGCCCAACATTTTCATAAAAAAATACATTTTAAAACAAAGATAAATGTAGAAGTACACGTTGACGCCAATGTTCGCACTCTTAATTTTAGGTTTTGAAGGCTTTTAACACATTTTGTAATTGGTTGAAGTTGTGAATTCTTGTCTGGGACAAGGCTGTTTTCTGGCACAGGTTAAGTTTAAAAAGTAAAGGCAGATCAAAATATTTTATAAATCATATTTATTTCATATGAATAAATCCTGCAAAAGTAATGTTTCACCCCAGAAATGGAATTAGAGTGTTGATAAGTTAAAGTAATAAGGATGTTTTTGGCAGGACAACATGTGTCCCAGTTCTGAAAAATGGATGAAATAATCATAAAAGAATTCACAGTTCTATTAGCAAAGCCAAAGATCCTTCATATCACATTATCTCTAACAGATTTATGATGAGTACAGTCTAACTGAGGATGATCTATTCTTTTTAAACTGAAATGCACAAAGCAACAGCAATGATAAGGTTCAAGTTTGAGTTTGAAATTGTTTTGTCTTTGCTGGTGAAGCGAGTTAAATCTCCCTTACTCTGACAGGCAGTGATTGTCTGAGCATGTTCACAGCCTGTGGATACTGTGTGCATGCACGTATGGGGCATGTTATGTAACATGCATGTATCACTCTGTACATGTGTGTTACTGTAGCATGACTGCGTGCCCAAGTTTATGCCTGTACGTGAGGGGTGCATGGCAGTCCTGCTCGCTGATGAACATCAGTCAGACAAATACCTGTTTAGCATCAAACATTCATGGTTTATCTCAGTGCACCACTTACAGGCGTCACAGTGTGGATAGCGTTGGCACAGCATCTTATCTATCCTATGAAAACTTCTGTTCTCTGGCATGCAGCTCCCATTCTACAGTAACATAGATGACTGTGTGTTCCTACTAGTCTTATCAAAATGCTGGAATTTGGTCTTTGCTGCCAAAATGTAATGTCGAAAAAATGTGAACTGCCACGACTCCTCATGCAAGAAAAGTCACCACACAGGGTTTTTCCACACCTTTTGTTGTAATGTTTGCAAAAAGGCACACGGGTCAGTTTGAAAGTCTGGCTTTGTCAGCTCTGTGAGTTCCATAATTTGCTCTGGGAAACACTTTTAGTTGCTCAGGTCAGCATGTCAGCTGTTTGAATTGAATTTTGCACCAAGGTTTGTCGCCCCCTCAGTAGCAAGCTTGCAGTTCAATCTATTCTCATTCTTTTCTTTTGTCATATGCGTCAGCTCCTTCTTTGTCCTAATCTACTTCACAGTAAATACATTCTGTAAATATGACTCTGAAATGCAAGTTTAGTTTGCAGGACACGTTTCCCACAGTTTGAAGGCTTTAGAAAATCTGAAACAGGTCTTTTGCAACAATATTGAACTATTTGCTTCTGTTGTCTTGACAACGCTCTCTTACTCACATCAGCCCCAAAACTTTTTGGCTTTGCTCTTGTTTGAATTTGTTATGAAATAATATTGTTAGACCCCTCTGGAAAAAAAGGCAGCGGAGGATCAGTTTTTATATATTTAATCAGTTTTCAGATCTCTTGACCCATGTTCTAATCTGCTTTCCCTCAAAACGGAAAAAGAGTATTTTAATAACTTCCACAACTGGCACTTGTGTGATTCAAGACAGCTGTTGCTTGTACCAGCCAGGTTTTTCTCTGAGGATTTGTAAGAGAACAAGCAGAAAAGAAGAAGAGGAAACTACACATGTTGGAAATTTAACTGACTGAGTAATTGTTTGAGTTTAAGATACCCCTGCCCCCCGTTGCAGACCTTGGATCCTGCCTGCTTTGCCAGAGAATCTGTTACTGTGGTTTCTTATCTCTCATCTGGAGCCACACCTCCATGAAGAGCAGAAGTCTGGAGAAACTCAAATCCACTTGTGGGATGGAAGTT